AGCCCCCAGGGTGCCCTTGGCTGGCCGCACCCTGGCTCAGACAGTTCATGTCTTAATAGCCATTTCCCCTGTCTCCCACCTTCTGGCCCCTTCTCTGCCTGCCCCTCAACACCTGATCTCTGGTGTCTTCAGCTGGGGGACTCAACTCCTCCAGAAGAGGCCAACTGTCATGTGTGTCCAGCAATGGGCAGACCCAATACCCAGTGAGCACTCAGGGCATCCCTGGAATGTTCATGAGGGGCAATCTGGAGACTGCCAGGCACACCCTCAGCCTCCACTCCTGGACAGGAAGTAGCCCGTCCACGGCCCCCAGCCCTGGTACACCTCAGGGTGGACCTGCACTACCTCTCCAGGAGTTAGTTCATCTGCTTGGAAGGGCTTTGCACTGAAGCCCATCTCCCTGTGCTCCTTCCACCCCGGCCCAGTCCTTCCCCATGTGACCTGAGAGCTCAGCCCCCTCCAAAAGGAAGTCAGGAGGCACATCTTTGCAGCAACCCCTGCCATGTGCAGCAGCTCCTGGGGCACAGGGTAGGCCAGTGGCTGCAATGGCCAGATCCAAACACTGCTTTTGACCTTAGCAAGTCTCTGCCTCGTGCCTCCGTTTCTCCCTCCATGATACGCAGGTATAACCATTTCTATCTCATAGGGTTGTTGTGAGTTGAGTGAATTAATCCCAGAAGAAAGCTAGGGAGCACCCAAGCACACAATAGGTGCTCAGGACATGCTGGTTCCACTGTTACTGCAAGTCTGGAGGATTTGGTTTGAATCCCAGTGCCATGACTTACATGCTGTGTGCCCTTTGGCAAGTTACTTAGCCTCTCTGGTCCTAAGTCTTCTCCGATGTAAAAGGAAGATGTCACCCTCTGTTTTGCAGTCCTGTGGGAGACCTGGCTGAGCCATGGTGTCAAAGCATTCTGCATGGGGCCTGGCCATTTGCAGAGGTTCTATAAATGCATGTTTTTCTTTCTTTCCTTCTATTTGGGTTTCCTGCTGGACAACCAAATGCAGATGAATGCCTGAATGTACCAGGCCTTGCTCCTGACTGGCTTTATTACCTTTAAGAAAGGTAACAAAGACGCCTTTATTGAGGTACAAAGGAAGCTGGGTCAACTGGGGGACTGCTTAACCCTGACTAGCACCCCCAGCCTGTGGGGCCTTTCTAAGTAACTCACCAGGCATTCAGGACCTAAGGCCAGACTCTGGGGAATCTGGAGCCCAGCTGAGGCTTGCAGACTCCTTTCCTTGGTCCAGAGGCCCGTGACTAAGAATTTGGTCCAAGCCTTCACTCAGGCCAGTGCCCCTGCAAGTGCACAGCTGGCCTCTGCATGTCCACTTCCAACGGCTGCCCATTCCAGTCCCTTTGACCTGCTAGAAATTCCTTCTTCTGTTGACCTTCATCAGTTTCCCTGGAGCTTCTGCTACTGGTTCCTTCCCTGGGGTAAAGCAGAGTGAGTCAGCATCTCAGGGGTCAGAAGACAGTAAGCACATCCCCTGGACTCTGAGACTAAATGCAGCATGAGCTTTCAGGATCCCACATGGGGAGACGGGCAGACGAGGTGGCTGCAGAACATGACCCATCTGGATTCCCGGCGAGATGGAGAAACAGCTGCTGCTGTGTCCTCCCTGCTCATCGTCTGACTTGTTCCTGTAACTGACGCCCATCCACAAGGCAGGCTACACACCTGGCTTGTTCCTGTGACTGACGCCCATCCGCAAGGCAGGACTATACACCTGGCTTGTTCCTGTAACTGACGCCCATCCACAAGGCAGGCTACACACCTGGCTTGTTCCTGTGACTGACACCCATCCACAAGGCAGGCTACACACCTGGCTTGTTCCTGTGACTGATGCCCATCCACAAGGCAGGCTACACACCTGGCTTATTCCTGTGACTGACAGCCATCCACAAGGCAGGCTACACATCTGACTTGTTCCTGTGACTGACGCCCATTTGCAAGGCAGGCTACACACCTGGCTTGTTCCTGTGACTGACGCCCATCCGCAAGGCAGGACTATACACCTGGCTTGTTCCTGTAACTGACGCCCATCCACAAGGCAGGCTACACACCTGGCTTGTTCCTGTGACTGACACCCATCCACAAGGCAGGCTACACACCTGGCTTGTTCCTGTGACTGAAGCCCATCCACAAGGCAGGCTACACACCTGGCTTGTTCCTGTGACTGACGCCCATCCACAAGGCAGGCTACACACCTGGCTTGTTCCTGTGACTGACACCCATCCACAAGGTAGGCTACACACCTGGCTTGTTCCTGTGACTGACACCCATCCACAAGGCAGGCTACACACCTGGCTTGTTCCTGTGACTGACGCCCATTTGCAAGGCAGGCCTACACACCTGGCTTGTTCCTGTAACTGATGCCCATCCACAAGGCAGGACTATACACCTGGCTTGTTCCTGTGACTGACGCCCATCCACAAGGCAGGCTACACACCTGGCTTGTTCCTGTGACTGACACCCATTTGCAAGGCAGGCCTAAACACCTGGCTTGTTCCTGTGACTGACACCCATTTGCAAGGCAGGCCTACACACCTGGCTTGTTCCTGTGACTGATGCCCATCCGCAAGGCAGGCCTACACAAAGTGGCCACTCTGCAATTGATGTCTTATCCCAGCTACTGGTGGACATCGGGGACGCAGCTATGTGTGCCTCCATTTTGCAGATGAGGACATGGAGGCCTCAAGAGATTAAGCGACTCACTCAGCCACACACAGCAGATAGGAATGAAACTGGCGGAAACTGAGACTCTCCACACGTCCTGCAGGTACTGACAGGTGGACTGCAGATCTGGGGATTCTTCTTCAGGCCAAAGACAAGTGGCCTGGATGAGGGAGGGCCTGGTGGACCATGACACCCAGCCCCCGGGAATTCTGCCTCCATGGCAGGCTCAGAGGGAAGGAGTGTGCTTCGGGGCCAGGCCTGGCCAAAGACTCCATCTTCCCTGGATGACCAGAGTCAAATCCTTGCAAATCCCATTCACCATGGGGCAGGTGGGACAGCGTCTGCTGTGCCCACCCATGGACTAAGAAACTAGGTGGAGGGAGGAGAGACAGAACTACAAGGGGAGCAGTTCTTGGATTAGGCAGGCAGGGTTCAGGGAAGACAGGGTGCCCAGTCCACCAGAATGCCCACGAGAGTCTCAGCTCCACAGAGTCAGCCCCACTCTCTGCTGGCTCAGCTCCAGGGTGGAGGGCTTGCCAAAGGCTCAGCCCAACACCCACCCCCAGGAGCCCTTTCCATGGCAACCCCCCCTTCCCCACCTCCAGCCCCTGTGCAGGTACCACTCTCTCCCCTCCAAACCCATCCCCTTCAGCTGATCCCAGCCCCCTGCAGGCTGCCTGAGGACTTTCCCACAGAGTGCCGGCAAGCGTCTGTTCCCAAAGCTGGGATCTACCCCTGCTTGGACTCTGCCCCTCCCACACTGGTCACTGGTCCACCCAGGGCATCAGCTTCTCATCCCCAGAGGCCTGTTCCGAAATGTTTTCGTTTTTTAGAGATGAGACCTCACTGTTTCCCAGGTTGGATATGAACTCCTGGACTCAAGCAATCCTCCCACCTCAGCCTCTCGAGTAGCTGGGACTAGTCTAGCACTACCATACTTGGCTTAATTGAATTGAATTTGAATTTGAATAGCTGCATGCTCTAGTGGCGACTGCATTAGGTGGTGCAATCTAGACTGAATGGGGAGGGCAGGAGGCAGGGAGCCAACCGGGTCCACCACACCAGCACCCTGGACACTGCTGGGGAGAGCCAGGGAGCTGGAGCAAGGGAGCATCTCAGGCGCCCAGACTGGGAGACGGGCCGTGAAGAAAGGGCCAGGGACGGGGCGGTGGTGAGCTGATGCGGAGGTCCCAGCTGAGAGGGGCTCATAGAGCACTGGGTAACTATAGGAGGGAGGGATGCAGCTCTGGGGAGCAGCCTGACACTGGGGTGCAGGGGCATTAGGCAGGTGATTGGCAGGAGACCTTGGGAGGGGAGGTGGGCTAAAGGCAGGCCTCAGGGCCCAATATACGGATGTACAGGTGTATCCCATGGACCTGGTCCCGTGGGCACTGAGGACAGCTGTTTCCCAGACAGGTCCCTGGAACTCCCCTCCAGGTGCCCCAGGACCCAAGAGAGAGGTGGAGTGGAGAGAGAAAGGAAACAAAGCCCAGGGACCCGCCCCGCAAAACACAAGAAGATGCTCCCAGCTTTTCAATTTCAGACACAAGTTCCTTGCAAGATTTTGTTTGAAGGAAAACTTCTATAGTAAAAAAGTCTGACAAGGCCTGCTGTGAATCCATCCCTAACTCTACGAGCAGGGAGACGGAGGCCCTGAGGGGGGGTCACTTGGTGGAGGCTGCACCACAAGCAGAACCCAGGTCTCTCTGACTCCAGAGAGGCAGGGGCACTGGGCTGGGGCTTTTCCATCTTGGATCTTCAGCCCCCAGCCCAGGCAGGGAAGGGACCATATGGACATGGTGGGGGGGAGAGGGGGCAGAGGGCGGCTGTCCCTCTTGCGCTAGTGGTGCCTGTGCACATTTCATGAGGGCCCGAGGGCTCTGGCTGCCTCCTACACACAGAGCCTGGAATGGAGAGGTGTAAATTGCCCTAGGGGAACCAGGCCAGGCCAGAAGTGGGCAGTGGCTCCTGCCCCAAGCGTCCAGAGCAAACATTCAGTGAACGTTTGGGATTAGCCAGAGGAATGAGTACTGTAGGAGGCGTTTCAGGCACAGGGCTCTTTATCTCTCAGGGAGGGATCCGCCCTCATGAAGAGAGCCCCTCTGCAGGGCCAGGAGGCAGTGGGGCCTGGGCCAGGTGCAGGGAAGGTGCCCCCGGCTGTGAGAGGGTTGAGGGGATGTGAAGACTGGAGCGCTACTGGCCTCACTTCATTCCACCCCCATAGGCACACAGGGCCTCAGATTCACAGCAGCAGGTAACAGTAGCAGGTCCACACCCACCTGTAGCCTCAGGGCTTCTCAAAACTTCCGGGGCAAAGTCCAGGCTGCTGCCTTCAGCCTTGCCCAAGGCAAGGGCCCCTCTCACCCCCATTGCTATCAGGAGCCCATGGGCCTGGCATTTTCAGGTCACAGGGCTCTCCAGCTCTGGTGGATGACTAGATCAGCTGCCCAGGAGAGCTGCAGCTGCCCATCCTGCCAACCGCCTAAGCCCCTCTCAGCAGCCTGAAACCATGTGAGCACCCCGGTGGCACACTGCAAGGCCAGGCTGCAATTATGTTTCCCAGAGCCCAAAGTTTCTAGAAAGGCCAAGGGGACCCAGGGCAGCCCTTCCCACCGCTGCCCAATTCCAACAGGAACAGGTCACTGTGGACGGCGCTCCATGTCGGGGTCTTTCCTGCAGCTTGAAGAAGGCGCAAGGTCCAAAACGTCAGGAAACCAAGGTGAGGCCCAGACTCCAAGAGGCTCCGGAGGCCCTGGCTCCTGCCTGACACTGCAGACCCCACCCCGATCTACCCTGGAGCTGGCACTCCACATCCATCTGCCCCTGCCCACACCATGCTGGCCCATCTCCATCCAGGCTGCCCTCCTCGTCCACCTGCCCTCCTCCCCTGAACTCCCACCCCCTCACCCCCATTATTTTCGTCTAGCCTCGATCACCTGGAACTTGGGGACAAGCAAGGGCGGGTCCCATGCCGCCTGCACTGCCTACTTGGGGAGTTTGTTTGCTGCTGTCTGCCTGACCCTGGCCTCCAGCTAACCTGGCCTGGCCACAGACCCAGGGATGCCCAAGCCCCTGTGCCCACAGCTTCCCCTTGCCAGCCTGTAATTGTATAGGGGGCGCTATGTTCTGAAAACTGTGTCCCCCAGTGTTCATGGGTAGATTTAATCCCCAGTGTAGTTGTGTTGAGCGGTGCGGACCTGTGGACTTTAAGAGGTGATTAGGCCTTGAGGCCCCCCACCTCACGGAGGGATCTGTGCTGTTACTGCAGGAGTGGGTTAGTTATCGTGTTCCTGATAACATCATGGGCTCAGCCCTGCCCCTCTCCGTGTGTGGATGCTTCTGCCCTTCTGCCATGGGGTGATGCAGCAATGAGGGCACTCGCCAGATGCCAGCTCCTGGACCCTGGACTTCCCAGGCTCCAGATCTGTGAGACAGTTTTGCTGTTTACAAACTATCTGGTCTCAGGTATTCTTATGATAGCAGCACACACAGGACTAAGGGGGGGGGGAATGAGAGGACAGTACATCTGAGGCCTCCCCAAGAGCTGCCCTCTGACGGGCTGTACTCAGTGCCTTAGCTGTTTTCTAACCTCAGGTAAACATCCGCCTCCCACTGAATTTCACAGAGGAGAAAATCAACATTCAGAGAGTCAAAGTGACAAGCCCTGGCACTCCCTGTAAGTGACATGCATCTGACCCTACCCTGTGGCCCACACCAGCAAGACTCCAGCCTGTATTGCAGCTGCCGGACCCCTGCCGGGGCCCCTCCCAGCCATTGCCACCTCCCTCCCCTCACCTGGCCTGTACCTGCCTCGAGGCACAGTGTCTAGTCCCCTCTGCAGCCACCTGCTCCCAACTCTGCCGGACTTTTATGGCTCTAAGGCAGCAGTTTCCTCCTTAGAGGCTGAGCCCAGGTGTCAGTTAGGTGACCACGGGGGAGCTGACCTTGTCCCAACAGGTGCCGGCCCCGCCCTCCACCTGGGTGGTTTCCTGGCTCCACCTCTTCACAGTTAGGTCGCCTCACCTCTCCAGCCTCAGTCTCCTCCTTTGTAAAACACGTAACCAGGCAGCAGTGAGAGGCAGCCACACCTTCCCAGAGCCACTCCGAGATGCCAGGTGCTCGAGGAGGTAGGGGCACTGTGGTTTACAGGTGGAGAGCCTGTCAGGGCCAAGCGCTCAGTAAAATGCATGTCCATCTCTTGTGAGCCTTGCCTTGCTCCCTCTTGTGGTGGGAGGGTCCCCAAGAACTTTGCCCTGACTCCCAGAGGGGCTGCGGCACATTCTCAGTGGGATGAAGACAGGAAACCAGGGAACACGGTAAGTACGGAAGAGCTCAGAAATAAACTCTGCATGGCAGGCCGAGTCTCTGACAAAGTACCGGGCAGGGACAGGGCGGGGGCCAGGGAGCCTGAACCCCCTCGGCCTCCCCTGCAAGGGGCCCTAGCAGTCCACAGCCTTGGGGAGGAGTTAGGGTCTCCCTGGGAGTGGGGGCAGAGGCTGGATTCTGCCCAGAGGAGATGGCCAGACAGCTATTGTACTGCTGGCTCCAAGCCCAAGGGTCCACCCCTTAGCAAGGCATTCATTCCCCCAAGTGGAGAATGCCCCTCTTGAGGGTGAAGACATAAATCACGCCATACCCTGGAGGAGGCTAAGCCCAGAGCTTTGAGCATTCCTGCTGCTGGGGAACTTTGCACACAATGCCCTACCTTCAATGCCTCACCCGGCAGGGACTCCTCCCTCTCCCTAGCCCTTGCCTTCCCTGGGGAGCTTCCCTCAGCCCAGCCTGCTCAGGAGTTCCCCCACGCTGTCCCCTAAGCCTGAAGAGGAATTTCCTGTTTGCTTGTCTTGCTCCTAGTGGTGGCTGACGCGGCCCAATAGCATCCAGTGGAAGAATGAGTGAATGAGTGTCCTGTCGCTCTCCCCCTATGCCTCCTGTCTCTGTCTGTCAGATGGGGTGGTGCCTGCCTGGGAGGGCTGCTGAGAGGCTCTCATGCAAAGAATAGAACTGATGGCACGCAATGTTGTGCGCACGCGCGCGCACATGTGTGTGTGTGTGTGTGTGTGTGTGTGTGTCAGGGACAGAGGGACTCCCAAGGACACAGGGGCCTTGCCATCTCTGCAGAGGAAGGCCAGCAGGGACTGATGGCTGGAGGGGTGGGGGTAGGAGTGGGGGCCAGGAGGGTGAAGGAAGGAGGAACAGAGAGGAGGTCAGAGTGGGGTGGGGGCTGCTCAAGCCTGTAATTATTAATTGGGCAGATGATTAATTGTTAACAGAGCTTTGGGTTAGAGGAAGAAACACAGCTTCTTCTTTTTTTTTTTTTTTGAGACAGAGTTTTGCTCTTGTTACCCAGGCTGGAGTACAATGGTGCTGCTACCTCCGCCTCCTGGGTTCAGGCAATTCTCCTCCTCCTGAGTAGCTGGGACTACAGGCACGCGCCACCATGCCCAGCTAATTTTTTTGTATTTTTAGTAGAGACGGGGTTTCACCATGTTGGCCAGGATGGTCTCGATCTCTTGACCTCGTGATCCACCCGCCTCGGCCTCCCAAAGTGCTGGGATTACAGGCGTGAGCCACCGAGCCCGGCTCTACACACAGCTCCTTCTAATTCATCAGTAGGCCCGTGTTGCCAGCCCCTCTACAAAGGCTTAAGCTCCCGTCATTATGGGACTACTGAGGCCAGCAGGATAAATCCTCGAGACCCCCATACCTTGGGCTTTCAGCTCCCTCCCCACCTCCTAGTCCACTCCGCCTTACAGGCCCAAATAACCTGCCCTGCCCCAACTGAACAAGAGGAGGGAAGGTCGCCAGCTCTGCCCTGCCCTGGCTCCCAAGGTCAGAATGCCCCCATCCCCACACCCAGGGCTCCTGATGCCTGGGTGTCTCGCCTCCCAGGCCATTACCTTTGGTCTGAGTGGGGCGTGGCCATCACCAGATAACAAAGGAGGCCGAGGAAAAGCCAGGTGGGAGGGGGCTGGGCTAAGTGCTTCTGCCTCTGCCAGAGGGCTCTCTTGGACCTTGGGCTGTCCTGGGTGCCCAACCCCAATCTCTCAGGAGTCAGTGATGGGCAGGGGCTGCTTTGGGACCACAGCTCTCTGGAGTCTAGCCTCAAAAGGGGGTGGATTTAAATCCTGCCCCTTCCTAACCTCGCTGGGTGATCTTGGGCAGGTCACCGAATACCCTGGGCTTGATGCCCCTATCAGCAGTGTGAGGCCATCCAACCCCGAGGGGATTAGAAGAGATAACATCCAAAGAGCCTTGACACAGGCCAGTTCTCTGAGCTGGGTGCGGCCTCACCACCTGCCCAGCAGAGGCGCAGCAAGGCCTGCAGGCACCGTTCCCCCATGCTCCCAGGATGGACCTCACTCTGGCGTAGCCTCCTCTGACGCCCCAGGTCCTCACTGGCTTCCCTCCTGCCTCCACAGCAGCCAGGGGTACCGCCAATTCCCCATTAGGCCACACATCTCTCTATTCAAGCCCTCCGGTGGCCCCATCACCCTAAGAATAAAATCCCAACTCCTCTGCTCGCCATGGCCCTGCCCATCTGCCACCTGCACCTTTGCTGACTTCGCCTCCCTTGTCCCCCAGGCTCCAGCCACACTTCCACCTTTCTGTCTCCTACACTCTCCAGGTGTGGCCCCATTCCAGGGTCCTTGCACCAGCTGATTTCTCCACCTGGAACGCCCTTCCTCAGGTCTCTGCTTACTCTGATGCCACCAGTCAAGGTGGCCCTGAGCAGCTGGCTGAAGTGCTGCCCCTGCCCCCAAGGCCTCTCTCCAGGCCGTCCCTCGAAGCACTCATCCCTGTGGAGGTGATCCCGCTTCGTTGTTTATGTCTCCCCTGCCCTTACCCCGTTGGCTTGGCCACAGGAGAGCAGGGTCACCACAGGCCTTGGTCACCACTATTCCCCACCCCCCAGGACAAAGCCTGCCCCGGAGCAGGCCCTGCACAGACAGCTGCTGGATGACAACGGAAGAGTCCAAAGACGCAGGAGCCCAGATGAGATGCAGCGAAAGACTCAGAGGGACAAGTATCCTCTGGTTTGGGGGTGCAGGCCCAGCCTGAGAGTTCCCACGCCTGACAGGCACGCTCCCCTACCCAGTGGCCTCAGAGAAAGCCCCTGCCCTGCTGAGATCAGCGCCACCCTGCCCGGCAGCCCCGGCAGTGCCAGCCCCTCCCACCCAGGCTTGCCATCCTCTGGGGACAACATACAAAGGCCCACTTCAGTGCAGAGCCTCAGCTCCATCTCCAGTCTGGCAGGCGAGGCAGGGGGAATGGAGGGGAGGGTGCGTCCCACCCTTTCTCATCCTCTGGGGCCTTCTCTAGCATTGGGGACTTTGTCCCAGGTGTTGTACCCCGGGCGGCAGAGGAGGGGTTGTTGGCTGGCAGAGGCCCCCATGCACTGGGTGCAGGTGGAGGTCCGGTCCAACAGTCGTAGGCAGTGGGAGTGGGTGGTGCTCCCCCGGCACCCACACGTGTGTACAGGGCAGCAGGTGGTGGGCGCGCCTGCATGCTCAGGCGGCTGGGTGCCAGGTGGAGTGAGGGACAGCGAGGTGCAGACCCAGCGGGGACGATCCAGGCTGGGCAGCAAGGAGGGCAGTGTGCATGGTCTTTGGGCCACACCAGGCCTGGCTTTCTGGCCTGAGACCCTCTGTGGTAAATGAAATGCAACTCTCAAATGGCCATCCCAACAACCTGAGCTGGTAACTTGTAACTCAAGCCTGACACCTAGGGACTGATGCTGACAACTTCAGGATTCCCAGCGCTCCCCCTTCTGGGGCCCCTCCCCACCCATCACCAAGCCTTGCCCATCCCACTGCCCGAACTTCTCAAATCTCCCATTCCCGGGCCCACTGCTCACCAGAATGGCAGCCGCTTCCTCAGTAGGCCCTGGACACAGCCCCCATGAGCCAAGCAAAAGCCACATCTGACGCTGCCCCTCCCAGCTTGGAATGGCTCTGCCCTCAGGAGAAAGTCCAAGTCTCCCAAGGAGGCACAGAAGTTTCTGTGTAATCACCCCCTCCAATCCCCGTGCCTGTCCCTGGAGGGTTCGGCTGAGCTGCACTCCTTCAGGTCTCCCTGACCCCGGCCTACCCCCCAGAACCCCTCATCCACATGAGGGCTGTGGTGTCCAACACCCCTGAGTCCTCAGCTTCAAGACCTGAGGCCCACACAAAAGAGGTGCTCACCCTCAGTTTGTTGAATGAATAAATGACCACCCCAAATCCACACACCTACACAGTCCAGTCAATGCTGCAGGGCTCTCAGCCTGGTCTGGGGCTCACAAAAGTTCTAGTACTGGCCCACACAGTTCTAGTACTGCCCGCTTTGCCACCTTGGGCTTGTCACACCCCAGTGAGGAGGCTTAGTTACATGAATCCTAAGGGCCCCTTCCAATGGGGTGTGGTGGCGGAGGGGAGATGCAGGAATGAGCTGGGAGGAGTTATGGGGAGACAGTGGGAAAGGAAGAGTGGCCCCGCCAGCGTCCAAACCGCTGCCTCATGCCTGGCACTGCAGGTGCACTGCTGGGAGAGGGAGTGAGCTTGAACATGGCTCTGGCACTGTGGGGACCAGGGGAGGTGACAAGGCCACACCTGCCTGCAGTCTGCAGCTCCTGGGCAGGAGGGTGGCAGCACTGCCCCTGGGATCTGGGGACCTGAGCCTCACAATTAGCTTCCTGCTGGGGTGGTCCCGACAGAGCAAGCGCATAGCTGCCTGGGCTCTGGGCACCCAGGGAACTCGCCCTCGGCTGGGACACACCCTGTCTCTTCTCCTCTCCCAGTTACTCTCTGTCCAATTCTGCCTGCCTGGGGCATTCTGCCCTGATCCATGCCAGCTCCGAGCCAGGTCAGTGTCTAGACTCTAAGCCACCTGCGGGGCTATCTCTGTTTCGAGGTTTGGATTATGTCTCGGGGGGTGGTGACAGCACTGACGCTCCTACAGTGGCCGCCACGTCTTCCTCCCCACAGCATCCGCATTCAGCAAACACAACCCACTGAATTCGTCCCCTCTTTCAACCTCTTCTCATCCTTTCTGAATCCTGAGGGTGATGATGAAGGTCCGAGGCAATGGGGTGCCGTCTTGTTAGTGTTAGGAGGATGTTTACGGGCAGTGGTGAGGGCGAGGTGGCGGCCACCCTGCAGCAGGGAAAGGCCGTATTCCTCTGTGGCTCTTGTGTTAGGACCTGATAGTCTCCAGCAGGGACACTTTGCAGGCCCCACCCATGGTCAGGGGACATCACGCAGGGCTGCAGGCATTGGGCCCCCTGACCAGTACTGTGAGACCATCGCCCATCTCTTCCTACCCATCCACTACCTAACTTTCCCACCTTGTGGAGCCAGAAACAGGCGCACAAGCGCTCAAAGCACTTCAACTTCGGGGAAAGAGAGAGAATGGAAACGGCAACAAAACCACCCCCAGCACAAGGTGAGAAGGCAGCTCTGGAGGTTGCATGGCTGGGAGCCGGGTCTCAGCAAGGCCACTGGCTTCCTGGAGATCCTGAGCTCCCAAATGATGTGCACTGTCTCATCTCATCCTCACAACCCACTTCCCAGATGAGCAAACTGAGGCTTGGAGAGGGGACGTGCCCAAGGTCAGGCACCCAGCAGGCTGTGCGGCTCAGCAGGGCCGCCTGTGTGCCCACTGCTGCTCGTCAAGCTCACGAACTCCCCACCTCCTACACTTCAGTTTCCCCACTGACCACTAAGGGTGGCGGCCTCCGAGTTCCATGTTCTGGAAGCCCCATATTCTAAGTTTGCTGCTTCAGGTTTCCTCCTCTAAGTTCCAGATTCCAGGTTCTCTGTCTGCATCTGGAGGTTCTGCTTCTTTTTTTTCTTTTCCTTCCTTCCTTCCTTCCTTCCTTCCTTCCTTCCTTCCTTCCTTCCTTCAAGCAGCTCTCCTGCCTCAGCCTCCTGAGTAGCTGGGATTATAGGTGCCTGCCATCATGACTGGCTAATTTTTGTATTTTTAGTAGAGATAGGGTTTTGCCATGTTGCCCAGGCTGGTCTCAAACTCCTGACCTCAAGGAATCCACCCACCTCGGCCTCCCAAAGTGCTGGGATTATAGGTGTGAACCACCACGCCCAGCCTGGAGATTCTACTCCTAGGTGCCGTGGCCTGTAGGCACTGTGTTCCATCTGCCAGTCCCTGAGCTCTCCTCTCCTAGAAAGCGCTGCATCAGGCCGGGTGCAGCACTTTGGGAAGCTGAGGCGGGCAGACCACCTGAGGTCAGGAGTTCAAAACCAGCCTGGCCAACATGACAAAACCCCATCTCTACTAAAAAAATACAAAAGTTAGCTGGGCATGGCAGCAGGAGCCTGTAATCCCAGCTACTCGGGAGGCAGAGGCAGGAGAATCACTTGAACCTAGGAGGCGGAGGATGCAGTGAGCCGAGATCACCATTGCACTCCAGCCAGGGCAACAGAGCAAGACTCCATCTCAAAAAAAAAAGAAAGAAAGAAAGAAAAAAAAAAAAGAAAGCTCTGCATCACGGGTCCCATGTCCACACAGCTCCTCTTTGGGACACTGTATTTTGTATTCCCTTCTTGGTGCCCAGCAGCAGGGCTCCTGCCCACTCCTACCTTCTTAGCCTCATTACCCTTCAGGGCTTGGGAGCAGTGGAACCAAAGAGATAGGGCACTCCGAAATGCCCCATCTCCCAAATCGAGAAGGCCTAGCCCAGCTTTACCAGGCCTGGGATGCCCCTAGGGCCGCAGAGGGTTTCCCAAACACATCCCAGCCAGGCAGAAATGCTCTTCCCCACCCTGCTCCCATCTCTCCAGGGCTCTGCCCCAACACCTACCCTTTGCCCTCTGCACCAGCTCTCACTGCAATGGCCCCATAAGAAAGGTGTTTCCCAAAGGCAACGACTTTAGGTCAGGGCCTGGCACCTGCTTGGTGACCACTCTGTCAGTTAATTAATTAACCAGGAATGCCCAAGGTACCTGTAAGGCTGCACAGCCTAAGAGACACTAGTTCATATGTGATGGAGATGTTCATACTGTGTGCATACACGTGTGGCGCGCACAAAACACATGCATGCAAACTGCACACAGTCACACCCCGATGTCAGCAGAGCTGTGCCCTGACACCTAGCTTAGTCACCGGTGCACAGTAGGCACCTAGGGAGAAATTGCTGCAAGAATGGATGGACGGATGAGTGCTCTGTACTGGGTAAAGAGTCAAGAGCTGGGAGGGAACAGAAACTCACCCCACCCAGGATGGAGGCTCAGACCAGATGACAACACTGCCACAAGGCACAACGTGACCCATGTGTAGGAGGATAGTGGGAAATGCACTTTGAGGCCAGGGTCAGCAATGACATCGGCCACAGGGAAGACCATGCCTACTGGGCCCCAGCATGGAGGTGGAACAAGCAGCCCTGGTTCCTGCTCTGCGGGCCACCTGTGTCTAGGAGGGGCAGGAGGGCTTCCTAAGGAGGGGGTCTCTGGCAGCAGCTGGGCTGGAGAGGGCAGGCTCTCCAGGGGTGCAGAGTGTCGGTACCAGCAAAAGCCAGGAGGTAGGAAGGTCAGGGCCACATGTGGAATATGGCAATTGCCCAAGAGGCTGAAGCATGGGGGACAGGGCAGAAGAAAGAACTGGAGCATGGGGGACAGGGCGGAAGAAAGAACTGGAGCATGGGGGACGCAGGGGAAGAAAGAGGCTGCACTGGCCCCGGAGGAAGGAGGTCAGAGGTGTTTGGACAAAGTTCTCAGAGCATTGCATTCCGGGAGCCCCAGGCCTGGGCTCCCATGACCCAATTTCCAGGAATAAGAGCAACACAGGCCTCCTGCCGCAGGTTTGCCTGCCCTGGGGAATGTGTCTGGTGCTAGGCAAGCCCCGCCGTGAGACCCCACAGCTGGTCACTGCTCACCAGTGGTGGCCCCAGAATCAGACAAAGCGGGAGCCGGCTGTCTCCAGGGCTCCTTTTCGTCCGTCTCACTGTTAGAATACAACTTCATTTTTCTGGTTCTAAAGGTTTCTAACCCACTCTAGAACACCAGGAAAGCACAAAAAGAAGCAGGGCAGTGTCCCCGTCTCCTGCCATCCTGGCCGTGGCTGGCATCTGGCCAGACCTTCCTCGTAGGCCTTTCTCTTCCCCATGACCCTTTTGCTAGAACCAACGTCAGCATGGGTTTCCTGCCACCTTCGGGCACATTCTGCTCTACGAGGCTTTCCTTTCGAAACGAAGTTTCGCTCTTGTTGCCCATGCTGAGGCACAAAGGCACAACCTTGGCTCACTGCAACCTCTGCCTCCTGAGTTCAAGTGATTCTCCCGCCTCAGCCTCCCTAGTAACTGGGATTACAGGCGCCCTCCACCATGCTCCACTAATTTTTGTATATTTATTTATTTTTTGAGACGGAGTTTCACTCTTGTTACCCAGGCTGGAGTGCAATGGCATGACCTCGGCTCACCGCAACTTCTGCCTCCTGAGTTCAGGCAATTCTTCTGCCTCGGCCTCCTGAGTAGCTGGGATTACAGGCACGCACCACCATGCCCAGCTAATTTTTTGTATTTTTAGGAGAGACGGGGTTTCACCATGTTGACCAGGATGGTCTTGATCTCTTGACCTCGTGATCCACCTGCCTCGGCCTCCCAAAGTGCTGAGATTACAGGCTTGAGCCACCGTGCCCGGCCAATTTTTGTATATTTAGTAGAGAAGGGGTTTCACCCTGTTGGCCAGGCTGGTCTCGAACTCCTGACCTCAGGTGATCCACTGTCTCAGCCTCCCAAAGTGCTTCTGCTCATCTACACCCACAGCTAACCTTGTTCCTGCTCAGAAATGCTCTGGCCTGGGGACAGGGGAAGAGGGTGGGGTGCAGTCTCATGTGGGCCTGGTGTCTCCTCCTCACACCTCACAGGGGACCCTCAGCTCTCTGAGGCACTCTGGGCAAGTTTCCCAGGGCCCCAGACCTTAAGGCTCCCATTGCAAAATGGGTGGGTTTGGCTGGCCACGTGTGTCCTCTCTTTGCTGATCCCCTAAGCTCAGCTGCAGGCCTCGGAAGGTTTTCTGGGATATGGGCACATGTGAAAAATAGAGCCATACCTTCCAACCCACTGTGGGCATTCAATGAAACCACGTGTGTAAGATGCTTTGTTAGTTGTAGAGCGCCACACAAACTCATCGGGCCCCTCGCCCATCGGGCAGGCTCTGTACGGCAGACATTAGACACGAGCAAGTCACCTCCCTGTCTAGCACTCAATTTCCATACAGTGAAACGCAGATTATTTTGGCATCCTGGCCCATGGTTCTTGAGATATGAAAATGAAAATGAAATCACGCAAGAAAACTCCAGCACCTCTTTCCCATTCATGCCACAAATATGAGTTAGAAATGTAACATGTACAGTCCTGGGCCATGGTGGGGGAGGTACCTTCTCTATCTCTCACCTGAACCAGCCAGTCGGCACTGTTTCTGGAAGTGGCCCTCACTGCCACTCTTGCAATCCCCGTTCAACAAATATTTAAGAAATATGTATCAGGCTGGGTGCAGTGGCTCACACCTGTAATCCCAGCACTTTGGGATTACACTTGAGGATCACTTGAGGTCAGGAGTTTGAGAACAGCCTAGGCAACATGGTGAAACTCCATCTCTACTAAAATACTAAAATTAGCCAGGTGTGGTGGCACGCACCTGTAATCCCAACTACTCAGGAGGCTAAGGCAGGAGAATCGCTTGAACCCGGGAGGCAGAGACTGCAGTAAGCTGAAATTGTGCCACTGCACTCCAGCCTGGGTGACAGACTGAGACTCTGTCTCAAAAAAAAAAAAGAAAAGAAATATGTATCAAATGCCTTCTATGTGCCAGGCACAGAGCCAGGCCCTAGTGCATGCCTGGTGCCAGCCTGGGAGCCCAACCCATCCCAGTCACCTGCAGCTCTTCCTGTGCCCCTCTCCCGAGGCAGCCACCATCACTCACCCACCATGATTCAGCCCAACCAAGTGCCAGGCCCCAGGTAGCAAGAGGAGGATGCCCCACAAGAGATTTGCCCAGTGCCTTAGGCAAGCTCTGGGCATCACACCCCATCTGGGACTTGCTTCCAGGAAGAGGCCGAGGCAGCAAGTGTTAGGATGACATTGTGGGGGCAGTGGGGCAGGGGCGAGCATGGTGTATGAAGAGCTAGGGGGGCAGAGGCTGCGAACACAGGGTGGGGCTGGGTCACAGGATCTGGGTCACAAGGGTTGGGGATCTTGAAATCTAGTAGCCACTACAGATGCCATGGGGCTGGGAAATGGCTTGTAGAGTGCATAGGCCTCTGTATCCCCAGGGCAGCGTTTATTTTAGAGACAGGGTCTTGCTCTGTCACTCAGGCTGGAGTACAGTGGCGCAATCTCAGCTCACTGCAGCCTTGACCTCCCAGGCTCAAGTGATCTTCCCCCTCAACCTTCCAAGTAGCCGAGGCTACAGGCGTGTGCCACCACACCTGGCTAATTTTTAAATTTTCTGTAGAGACAGGTTCCCACTTTGTTGCCCAGGCTGGTCTCAAACTCCTGGACTCAATAAATTCTCCTACTTTGGCCTCTGAAAGTATTGGGAGTGCTTTGGGAGTCCAAGTCAGCATTTTTTAAACTGTGGGTTTCCAGCCCTCCCGTGGCGAGAGGCTGACTCAGCAGGGCTGGCTAGGGCCTGGGAAAAAGCTACTTTAATCAGGCCGCCCAGGTGACACTGAGCAGGCCTTCCAGAGACAGGGCCCAGGACAGTGGTGGGAGGAAGGCCTTGAAGAGGAGTCCTGGAACCCAAGAGACTAAGTGGTGGCTGTCTCAGGCTCTAAGCCTCAGAGAGCAGGCCCTGATGGGAGCCCATGGGAGAGAAGGAGCAGGTCTCCGTGACCGAGAGAACCTGCTCTCTGAGGGTCCGACAGGCTAGACACAATCCCAGCCCTTCCACTTCCCGGCTGTGGGCCCCTGACTCTGGCCACCGTCAAAATGCCCAACAGGGATGGTAATAGCGCTTGCCTCTCAGAAAGTTACGAGACATCTCTGGGAAACACCTGGGAGAATGCATACAAAGTGGTTGGTTGGCCCTGGGCCCAGCACATAGTAAGTGCTTGATAAAGAGCAGTAAATTATGATGACCAGGAGGCCAAGGTGGGGAGGACAACCGTGGGAGCCATCCATCATGAGGCCTGCCAGCCAGAGTCCCAGTACCCACTGGGGCCAGCCTCCCTTGCTCAGAACCCTGTCTGTCTGGGCTGTTCCTTCTGGGAAGTGTCTGGCCTACCCAGAGGGGGCAGCTGGAGGGCAGGTTCTGAGGAGGTCCTGGTGTCTGCACAGGTTCTGTCTCCCTAGCCTGGCCCTCACGCACCCCTCCCAAAGGATTCGGTAAGAACCAAAGTTTCGAGCAAAATAAGCTTCAAAAAGTAAGTTCCAATTTTGTTTTTATAGAAAAGATGAAAATAAGTGAGTCAAAAGGGGAAATTCCACTTCAGGCAGCACAAGGAGAAGTACGTGAAGACTCGGTTAACTTCCTGACTTATGGGCAAGGCCTTGGGTCCCCTTGTCAGCTCCATGCTGGACTGTGAGAGGGGGTTCCCAGCCTGCTTCCAGCCTGTGGGCAGCTCCGCCCCTTCCCGGAGCCTCACTGTCCCCTTTCTGGTGGTGGGGACAGTAGCCCCTCCCAAGGGTACAGGTCTCTGTACCCTTGCTCTGTAGTGTGAGGCTGCCCTCTGGAGGTTCAGTCCCTTCCATCAGTGATGAAGGAGGAATAATGAGCAGGACAGCCAGGCTGCTCACCTGGGCTGAGATTCATTCATTCATTCATTCATCCTCACATTTAACTGAGGGCCTCCTCAGTACCTGTGTCACTGAAAGTCTATCAGGAGCACCTACGCCAAAGACACAGGCAGGGTGCTCTGGGAGCTGATAGCAAGGACACCAGGAAGCATGTGGGCTTCCCCAAGCCAGCCACACTGCAGCTAAGATATAAAGAGTGGGTCAGCCCAAACAAGAGAGTGCACCTCAAATTCCCCATCTGCAGAGGGGGTTATCCTGGCACCTCTATCATGGGCTGCCGTAGGAACACAATACCTGACGGCTACTGATATTTTTGTGGGCAGAAACGTGCACATGGGAGGGGCTGTGGCGTTGGGGGAAGAGCCAAAGGGGAGATGGTTCTGGCTGACTTGGGTTGCAGGGCAGTGTCACAGAGGAAGGGGCTCATGAGGAGGCTTTTGATGGGCCACAGAGTTCCAGGGGACAGCGGAATGGAACGGGAATTCCAGTCGAGGGAACAGCACAGTGAGGGAATAGAACGTGAGGTCCGGGACCTGCTTGGGCCACATCTCGGCGCTCACTGGCTTAAGCTCGGGGTCCACTCTGTGCAGAACCCCAAGGCCAGGCCAAGGTGGAGAGGACCCCTGGAAGGAAGCGCTAGAGCAAGTGTGCAGCAGCGTCAGGGGTGTGGAGGGTGTCAGGATGGGGAGGACACCAGGACCTCCCCATTCCCTCAAGCCTCACCCCAGGGCTGGCACAGGGTGGCCCCTCACCTCCAGCCCCCAGGCCTCCCAAGCCTACCCCTGCAAGCCCTTCTCACTGACCAGCGGCTCCCAAATCTAGCTGACCGACACTCTCTGCATCCTTTCTTCCTCATTCAACCATCGTTTATTAAGCACCCACTGAATGCCTGGGGTCTAAAGCTGGCACGTACCAGCCCTCCTTATGACAGTCTTGTTAGGCCATCACTGGCTTAAAGTCGGCCACACAGGGAGGATTTACACCACGGCGATCAGCCAACTCATCAGGGTTTTGTTTCACAGAAAGCCAGTTGCCAGCCTACTATTGCCACCAGTTGGAGCAATGGATCTGGAAAGGCAGGCCCCTGGCCAGGAGAACTTAGTCGGAAAAGGAAGACATCAATCACGTACGTAAACAACACATCTCCAAGGGCATGTGGTATAGTCTCCAAAGAGGCGGGAATCGGGAAACTCATTCTGGAACGGAGCAGTAAACTATGGAAACTACCGTTCTGTTGCCCAGGCTGGAATGCAGTGGCGTGATCTCGACTCACTGCAGCCTCTGCCTCGGGGTTCAAGTGATTCTCCTGCCTCAGCTTCCCAAGTAGCTGGGATTACTGGTGCCTGCCTGGCTTTTTTTTTTGAGTCGGAGTTTCCATCTTGCTGCCCAAGCTGGAGTACAATGACACAATCTCAGCTCACTGCAACCTCCACCTCCTGGGTTCAAGCAATTCTCCTGCCTCAGTCTCCCAAGTAGCTTCGAATACAGGCGTGCACCACCACGCCCGGCTAATTTTGTACTTTTAGTAGAGGCAGGGTTTCTCCATGTTGGTCAGGCTGGTCTCAAACTTCCGACCTCAGGTGATCCACCTGCCTCGGCCTCCCAAAGTGCTGGGATTACAGGCATGAGCCACTGCGCCTGGCCTAATTTTTGTATTTTCAGTAGAGGTTTCACCATGTTGGCCAGGCTGCTCTTGAACTCCTGACCTCAGGTGATCCGTCCACCTCAGCTTCCCAAAGTGCTGGGATTACAGGCGTGAGCCACCGCACCCGGCAGCACCCCTATTTTAGACACGAGAAAACTGAGGAACAGAGATGCAGAGTCACCAGCCCACAGTCATACTGAGAGGGGGCAGAGCTGTGATTTGAACCTGGCCACTAGATCTGGAATTCCTACTTTTAGTGACTCTTTCCTTGCCCCCAAACAGCCAGCACAGGACTAGGCAGACCATCAGTGCACATGGGTATCTGCTCCCCAGTAGGATTCTAATCTCCTCAGGGCTTGCAAGGCCTGTGTCCTCTCTCTCCAGCACAGTAAATTATTACCCCTATCTGAGGACATCATGTTCGGAGACCTGGTCCCCACACAGAGGGCTGGAGGTGGCTGAGACAAGGGGCCGCATTAATGCATTCCGGGAAGCAAAGAGGCTCTGGCCTTGGGGAGCACTGCAGGACACCCTGAATGCCTTGGGATGGGCAAGTGGGGCTATGTTTGCAGGCCACCCTGCCTCTGGCCACTCCTCATTACTTATCTAGTCTCCTCCCAGAATTGAATGACAACCATGCAGTTCCCTCACCTTCGGCTCTCTGCTGTTCATGTCCAGCCCAGCCCTCTCATGATTCTCATGGCCGCTGCCCAGTGAAGCTGGCCTGGGCCGCCAGCTGGCATCGGTGTCCTCGTTTTCCAGGTAATAATATCAACGCTGCAGCCAGCAATCTCCCGAGTGCTGCTTAGGTGCCAGGCACCCCGTGTGCATCCTCTCATTCAATCCTCTCTGCAACTCATCCCACAATCAAATTCTCTGGAATCCCAGTACTTTGGGAGGCAGAGGCAGGAGGATCACTTGAGCCCAGAAGTTCAAGACCAGCCTGGCCAACATAGCAAGACCCCCATCTCTATTTAAAAAAATTTTTTTTTAAATTAGCTGGGTGTGGTGGCTCACACCTATAGTCCTAGCTACCCAGGAGGTTGAGGCAGAAGGAGCTCAGAAGGTCAAGGCTGCAGTGGGCTATGATCACACCACCTCCAGCTTGGATGACAGAGTAAGACCCTGTGTCAAAACAAAAACAAAAACAAAACCTCCCTATTTGACAGATGTGGGAACCAAAGGCTCAGAAAGCTGACTTCCTGAAGTGGTCCAGTTATTAGAGAAAAAGAGATCATCAGGGCTGGGCAAAGTGGCTCACACCTGTAATCCCAGCACTTTGGGAGGCCGAGGTGGATGGATCACTTGAGGATAGGAGTTCAAGACCAGCTTGACCAACCTGGTGAAACCCTGTCACTACTAAAAATACAAAAATTAGCCGGCTGTGGTGTCCGGCACTTGTAGTCCTAGCTGAGGCTAGGATTACAGAGGCTGAGGGAGAATCGCTCCTGTGTGGGAAACCCAGGAGGTGGAGGTTGCAGTGAGCTGCAATGGCGCCACTGAACTCCAGCCTGGGCAACAGAGTGAGACTCCACCTCAAAAAAAATAGAAAAGAAAAAGGAATCATCAGTGTGCCCCAAGCAGCCCTGGCCACACCAAAGGCACCAGGCAGACCCTCAGAAGGGGTGGCTGAGCCAGCAGCATCCCCCCAGCCAGGTCTTGGCTCCCTGCTGTCCTCAGGACCAAACACTAGCTCCCTGCTCTGCCCTCCCACCTCAACTCCACCTGGCCTCCCTGCCCAGCCTCTCCCCTGTCTTCATCTCACTTCTCCCAGGGGGCACTCACAGTGCCTGAATGTCTCCACTGCCACCTCTCAACACACACCAGGCACTCACCCCTCTAGGCCTTTGCTCAGGCCATTCCCTCGCCCCAGAACGCCCTTCCCACCTTTCTCTACCCAGAGAACTCTGCCAGCTTCCTGTCATCATCTCTTCCAGTAAGTTCTCTCTTCCTCTTGGGCTGGGACCCCTCTTTCAAACTTTCCTAGGAGCCTGAGCAGATCCCCTTAGCACTCCACAGCCTGAAACACCCCTCAGAGCTGCAGCTCCTGGGGTGAGGGCTTTCCCCTCCATCCTTCCGCCTGGCTCCATATCTGATCTTTCATAACTGCGCCCCCAGCCCAAGTGACACGCTAGTGCCCAAAACTCCCCCATCAAGGCGAATCTAAACTGGCGTGTCCCAGGAATGAAGCGGGAGACCGGGGAGGAATCCCACTGGGGTAGTGTGTCTGCCTACACCCCATCAGGGGCCTTCAGTGGCATCTTCCGGGGCTGGGAGTCATCCGACCTCAGACCACTAGGTCTGGCCGAATGCGGCAACCCTTCCTGCTGCACCCCTGCTCGGGCACCTCACCACACACACACACCCAGGCGCACTCCCCTCCCCACCCCCGGTTCCAGAACTCACTATTTGCAGATATTTATAGCGCCCTCACTCAGCCAGGTTCCCTCCCCCTTCCTGGGCAGTGAAGTGCAAGGAGCTGGGGGCCCTCAACACGGCAAAAGGCCGGGGACCCTCTCCACACTCGCCCCTGCCTTGTCCCCAAGGGTAGCTACGGCCGCAGCCCCCGCACCCGCCCAGCACCTCGACTGCGCCTGGGCCTCTTCTGACGCCGCCGCAGCACGGGGTCGGGGGTGGGGAAGGCGGGCGCGAAGGCCTCCCGCCCCAGCCCCGCGCTGCGCCGGAGGTTGGGGGCGCCGCGCACAAAGCAGGGCTCGAGCCCCGCGCCTCGGAGACGTCTCCCGCCCGGCCGGGAGCGGCGATCGGGCGCCGCGGCTCTGCCCTCCGGGACCCGGCGAGCTCCGAAGAGCGGCGAGTGGGGGGAGGGGGCCCGCGCCGAGCGGCTTTCGCGGCATCGCGCCCCCACCGCGGCCCCAGGGCCCCCAGCCCCAGCGCGCCCGCGGCCGCCCCCTAAGGTCACGCTCGGGGAGGGAACCGTGAGCTGGGCGGGGGGCGCCGAACGCAGCAAGGGAGGGCCGGCAGCGCGGGGATGGAGGGGCCGCGGCGCCCCCCAGGACGCCGGGGTCAACTCACCCATCGCCCACTGGGTCTCAGCAGCGGCGGCAGCAGCAGCAGCGGCGGCGGCGGCTCCGCGGCCCCCGGGGTCCCCGGCGGGGAGATGCTGGCGTCCGCCGCAGCCTCTCGCCCCATCCCGGGCTCAGGCGGCGGCGGCTGCGGCGGGCGCCCGGCATCGCAGGCGGCGCGGCCCCGGCCCGGCCCCGATCCCCGCCCCCCACCCCCACCTCCACCCCGTGCCGCGGGCCCAGTGCGGCGGCTCTGCTGCACCCTGGGGCGGCGGCGGGGTCCCGGCGAGCGGACGGGCGCGGAGGAGGGATCGCGGCGGGCGCGCGGGGGGCGCGGAGGCGAGGCCGAGCGCGGCGCGCAGGGGTGCCCGCTCCCGCCGGCTCTGGAGGCTCCGGCCCCCACCCCGCCCCCACCGCAGACCCCTCCCCTCCCCCCGCCAGCCGAGCTCCGCCGCCGCGCCGGGCCGGGGGCGCCTTGCACCGCAGACTCCGGCCGCCGCCGCCCCGCGCCGCCCGCGCGTGCTGGATCAAGTGTGTGCGTGTGCGAGCGAGTGTGTGAGTGCGAGTGTGCGCGCGCCCCTCCTGTGACCGTGCGTGCACCGGCCCACGGCCGGGGGCGGCCTGCGCGGGGGTGTGTGGGGGACGCGGGTGGCTCGGGGTGCAGGCCTGGTGTGCACGCGAGGCAGCGAGTCCCGTTCTGTGTGTGCGTGGTCGGTGGGTTCCGCAGCGTGCCCAGGTCGGTGTGACTCTGTGTGGCGGGGTCTGTGCCTGTGTGTGCGTGGAGTGCAGACCCGTGTTGCGGTGCGTGCGTGGATCCGGCTGAGCCCGCGTGAACCTGGGCCAGGATTGCCTGCAGGCATCCGTGACCGTGTGCAAAGGCCTGGGCTTGTGATATGTGCACCGGGCCAGCCGGGCCTATTACTGTGTCTACACAGTCTGTGTGTCTGCTTGGGGCGTTGGTGACCGCTGCACACCGACCTGCGTCCTTCCGACACTCTCCATCCACTCACAGGCCCGAAGCAACCTGAGCACTCTTGGGGTAACTGGGGGTGATAACCCCTCCCCCGACCACCCTAGGCCTGGCTGGCCCTGCCCACAACTTGAACCTACCCTCCTGCCACTTGTCCACCAGCGGTTCTCCGAGGGCCCACCATGTTGTGCACTGTCTCCTCGAGGTCTTGCCATCGGCCAGTCCTCTCAGGGTTCTGGGGCGTCCGTTCCCCACGTGTTTCCCGCCGCCTTTCAAGTGGTTCCTTTCTGGCGCCCTGCAGAGCAGCCACTTCCGGTCGCGGGTGCAAGGCGCGAGGCATCATGGGTCCGCAGCAGATTTCTCTGTGCCGACATCGCTACCATCGGTGAGGGTGCAGGGATGCCCCTCCAATGCTAGATCCCAGCGAAAGTGCTGCAGGGTGGTCCCAGAGGCCTTTGCTGAGCCACCTGGGCTGCCTGGGACTGGTCTTCCTGCTCCAGGTGCCTCCGTGCCCAGCTTCATCCCCTTGCTGAGCAGGAAGAGTGACCCTACTCCAAGGTTTACCTGAGCAGGTCACTCTCCTGCCTGAACCTCAATGACTTTCACTTGCACTCAGCTTAAGTTCAGTGCCTGGGCAAGGCACAAGGAGCCCCTGGTAACCTAGCCTTCCCCTCTTCTTCAGCATCACCCCAGCTGCTCTCCTCTTCCTGAGGCTCTCACTAACCAAGGGTGAGCAAACCATTTGCTGTAAGAGCCTGATTGTAAATATTTTAGGCTTTGCCAGCCATATGGTCTCTGTCCCAACTACTCAACTCTGCCATGGTAGCATAAAATCAACCATAGACAATATGCAAAAGAATGAGAATGGCTGTGTTCCAATAAAACTTTATTTATGGACACAAAAAAATCTGAATTTCATATCATTTTCACGTGTCCAGAAACATTTTTTGATGTTTTCCCGACCACTTGAATGTGTAAGATCCATTCCCATCACTAAGCACATCATGTTACTCATGCCTGTAATCCTAGCACTTTGGGGGGCCGTGTTGGGCAGGTCACGAGATCAGGAGTTCAAGACCAGCCTGATCGACATGGTGAAACCCCGTCTCTACTAAACATACAAAAATTAGCCGGGCGTGGCGTGGTGGCCAACACCTGTAATTCCAGCTATGCAGGAGGCTGAGGCAGGAGAATGGCTTGAACCCAGTAGGCGGACGTTGCAGTGAGCCGAGATCGTGCCACTGCACTCCAGCCTGGGTGACAGAGCGAGACTCCATCTCAAAAAAAACAAACAACAGCCAAAAAAAAAAAAATCTCCATGATATCTGCGTAGGGTAGCTGTCGCTCTCCCAAAAGCCAGTCTATTCTGGGCGAGGGAGCAAGACTCCATCTCAAAAAAACATCTCCATGACATCTGCCTAAGGTAGCTGTCATTCCCCCAAAATCCAGTCTATTCTGCCTTGCAAAAATGTTGGCCTCCTCTCCCCAGCCTGGCTCTCCAGCCCCCAAAGAACCCTCAATTTTGCTTACATGTGTCTCCCTCCCCCAATTCCTCATGCCACAGCTCTCCCTGCCTGTGACTTTTGCCTCTCTGAGAGGGGCCACCTCACAGACTCTTTCCTTCCCCAGAAAAACCTTCTCTCCCTCCCCAGGCCTTTGGCAGCAACTCTGGGCATTCCTCAGCTCATAAGAGAAGGGCTGCTTCTCCGTTGGACTTGTTCTGGGCATCCAGAAAACCTTGACACTGGCCCCAAAGCACCAAAATCTCACATTCCTCCATTTCCATTGCTCCTGGCAAAGGGGAGGAGGACCTGCCCAAGCCCCAGCCCTTGCCCTTGCAGGGTAAGGACAGGCCCCACTCCCCAGAGAAGCTGCCCTGCACAGAGCTGGCCAGGGTCAGGGGACTCACTCTCTATCCTCCCCCGACTGAGTCTTTGTTCTCCTGACCTTTCCAGATTCCCAAGCTTCTTGGGAGGCCTAAGTGGAGTCAGCCTTGTTGGGTCCAGTCCATACCAAAGTCCGCCTCCATGTCCTCAATGTGGCTCTCAGTGTGTTGGGGGCTGTGTGGCAAGTACATCTTCCCCACCCCCAGCCCATCAGAGATAAGCGACTTGCTTGATCACATGCAGCCAGACTCAGGGAGAGCCAGGCACACCAGGCCCCACCCTCCACCCTCCCAGCTCAGGCCCTGTGGCGCCAGGAGCCTCCCTCCGAGAGAGCTAGCCAGAAGGGGAAACAGCCCCCAATTCCTTCCTCCCACATGGCTCCTGTCACTCTTTCCTCCTCCCAAACTCACAAAGGCCTGGCACACAGTAGGCACGGAGGTGCTCAGCAGGTGGAGAAGCTGAATCCCCGGGTGTTTCAGACCTGGGTTCTTTGCCAACTCACCAAATGTTCCAGTCATTTCAATTCCTAAGCGTCAGTTTCCTCATCTGCAGAATAGTGCAAATGACTACTCCGACACTGCATTGACATCAGAGTAATCTGGGTCTCTCCATCCTCTTCCAGTCCCACCTCCCAGCAGTCCTCCAAGATGTGGGGGAGGCTGGCCTCCAAGCCCCACGATGATGTGAGTGGGTGGTTGGTGGCCCTCCTGCCCCACCGCTCCTCTAAGGGCTGAGCTGCCTGATAAGCAGGCTGTGGGAACTGGAGGTGGGAAAAGCCCAGATACAAGATTAGCCAACCCCTGGTGGTGTCCCCTTACAGCTCTGCTGTCCCCTTTCACCCTGGGCCGTTTGACTCTGGGAACAATTGCTAGGTCTGTTAACCTTTCAGCTGCTGCTGCCTGGCCCATGGGAGCCACATTCTGCACTCCCTGGGTCATCTCACTCCTGGCCCTGGGTCTCCAGGTGGGGAGGCTCCTTGCCCATGCCACAAAAAGCAAGCCCTAGGCCAGGCTCAGTGGCTTACGCCTGTAATCTCAGCACTTTGGGAGGCCGAGGTTGGAAGATCACTTGAGGCCAGGAGTTTCAGACCATGGCAACACCCTGTCTCTACTAAAAACACAAAAATTAGCTGGGTGTGGTGGCGCATGCCTGTAGTCCTAGCTACTCAGGAGGCTGAGGCAGGAGAATCACTTGAACTGGGGAGGTGGAGGTTGCAACGAGCTGGCATAGTGCCATTACACTCCAGCCTGAGCAACAGATCGAGACCCTATCTCAAAAAAAAAAAAAAAAGAAAAGAAAATGGGGGGGTGCAGGCGTGATGGCTCAGACCTGTAATCCCAGCACTTTGGGAGGCCGAGGCAGGTGGATCATGTCAGGATTGAGGCCCTCCTGGCTAACACAGTGAAACCCCATCTCTACTAAAAATACAAAAATATTAGCCGGACATGGTGGCGCACACCTGTAGTCCCAGCTACTTGGGAGGCTGAAGCAAAAGAATCATTTAAACCCGGGAGGTGGAGGTGGCGGTGAGCCAAGATCCCGACACTTTACTCCAGCCTCGGTGACAGAGGGAGACTCCATTTCGAAAAGAAAACCAAGCCAACAAGACCCAGCCCTGCCAAGGCTCTAGGTGGTCAGGGAGCACAGCAGTGCAGTGGGCAGAGTGAGCCGGCTCTGGTCTGGGTCCTCTGAGCTGGGCCAGGGCTCCACACTCAAAGCCTAGGCCTGCTGGTCTGCAGGGTGGGCATAAAGATGGTCACCTGACAGCGTGCGGGGAGGGTGAGGGAGGTGGGATGTGTGACAGGATAGTGCTGGGCAGCACCGAAAGTATTTGATAAAGGGTTCTTTGAGAAATTAAAATGAAATACCAAGCCCCCCAACAGACTGAAAGGACCCCCTCTTGGCCAAGGGGACCCCAGAGAAACTTTAAAAGCTGAGTTCTTGGCCACAACAGAA